AAAGTTCTGTCGGAAGTGCTGTTTATGTTAATTGCTGGGTATTGCTGGAAGGAGTTGCTGTGGTCATTATCGCTGGTCCCCTGTCCCATATTGAACCGTTCCGGCTCTCATTGGTTCTTCTTGCTGCTCCTCTCTCTGTTGGGCCCTTCCTGCTTTCTTCTCGGCAGCCTCTCACTCTCCCTTTGCCTGACCCCAACCATAATGTTAAAAACTCCGTGACTTGCCTTCATCCACCTCCTCTGCCCCTGTCATTTTCCCACGTGCTTCCTGCAGCCTGTCTGCGTATCTGCCCTTTCAGCTGCTGGCATCTGGAATCTCCATGTCCAGGCTCTGAAATTCCCACTACCCATTCCCAGTGGGAGAGGGGGAGGAGGCCTCCCCTGGCAGTCCCTAGTCCCCAGCTCCCAGCAGAGGTGCCGGCTGCCTGGGCCCCTCAGGGGGTCGGAGATGATGGTTTGTTGTGACGGGGGCAGTGGGCAGCCTGCCCGCTCTAACGCGCCCGTATCAGGGCGCCAAGCGTGCTGTTTGCACTTGGCTGGGCCCCGGGATCTGGCCGGGTGCCCGTGAGGGCTGGCCCGCTTTGGCACCCTTGGTAACAAAAGCCAATCATGGACCCTCCACCTGGTCAGGAACACAAGGAGCCGGTCCTGGGCTGGGCCCTGGGGTGAGGGGCATGTCTGACACCCAGAACCAGAGTGCAGGACAGAGGCTGTGGCTGTGGCTGGGCTCTGGGTGCTGAGTGGGACAAGGCCCAGGCAGGCATAGGCAGGATGTGAGCTCTTGGGGGTCAGGCAGGTCGTTGCTCTGGGTGGTTCAGGGGGACAGGGTCTGCACCTGACATTCACACTTGCCTGGGGAGGAACTTTGGCCTGAGATGCCAGAGAAGCTCAAGGTCACCTCCCAGCACCATACTTTCTCCTCCCCTTCCTTTTGGGCACATCATCTGCGAAGTGGATGAAATAGACAAGTCTAGCCCATGAGTGACAAGGACATTGAGGCCCTACAAGGAGATGCGGCTGGTCTGAGATCACATGACCAGTCCCTGGAAGAATCAGAGCTTGGACTCAGACACCTGCGCTTTTCTCCCTTTCTGCCACTCCCCATGGGAGCTCTGAGGAGAGTCGGATCTGGACACCTGGCTGTGGAGGGTCGGATCCTGGCCCTGCCAGATTCTCCTCCGGGGGATAGAGACAATTACACCTAGCTCTCAGGGCAGTCATGGGGGTTAGATAACCAGCCTCCTGGCTGTTTCCAAAACATTCTGAGGATCCTCCTGCCTCTGGGGTCTTTATAGGCACTGCTCCTGGTGCCTGGGTGCTCTTCCTCTAAGCATGTACCTGACTTACTCTGTCAGCGTCACCCTCCGTACCCAGGGAAATAGCAACTCTCAACGGGCCACTCCCTGTCCCCTTACCCTGCTGTGCTTTCTTTTCAGCGCTCTCACCATTTGACATGTATATTTGGGGTATTAATTTATGGTCCATCTGTCTCCTACTAGAAGGTCAGCCCCATCAAGGGCAGAGAATATTGTGTGGCTCATAGTACCTGCTCCTATAACGATTACTGTTTTTTTCCCCTTCTCTTTCTAATACTTCCCAATACCTAATAGCCACTGTTTACTGGGCCCTCTCTACCCATCAGGGCCAAATGACTCACAGCTTAGCGCCACGAATTTCACAGGTTCCTGTCACAGGCTGCTGTCACTTATGTATTAGAAATGAGGGTGGAAGGTGCTGCAGTGCCTTGCCCAGAGCCACCCAGCTGGCAAGCGGCAGAGCCAGGCCTCCAGACGGGTTAGTCCCACCCAGAGCTCACACTGTGCTGCCTCCTGTGTTGGGTTAACAAGATCAGAGCCTTCATCCAAACTAGGGACTCGGAATCCACGTATGATGGGATTGGATGGATCAGATTTGGGGGTAACTCTCAATCTTTTGGGGGTTTCCCCTTCTAGCCTTCTCCTTCTTCCCCGTGCCCAACACACATTTCCTAGGATGGCTCCTTCCCTGGGATTAGTCAGTTAGTTACAGCCAGGCTCACTGCCCCAGAATGACAGGTACCCTTTGGCTGGGGGGACCCGGCAGCTAACCTGAGGCTTGGGGGTGGGGCAGGGAGCAGAGAGTGGGTCCAGGTTCCTGGCCATCCCTAGGCTGTCTGAGGGCAGGTGGACAGGATGTTCCCTGGGGCAGCAGACATTCCTGGTCGGAGGTGGCAGGCAGTGGGGAGATTTACCATTTCCGGTAACCCGAGTCCCTGTGATGTCGCGTTCTCCTGCCAAGGACACGCATCCCTCGCTTGCCAGCCCTTCCTGCCATTTCCTAGACTGGGCCTGTCTGACTGGGGCTTGAAGACAGGCTGGAGGGACCAGCTCTGGGTGCCAGAGGTTAAGACTGAGGGCTCTGGCCCTGATTAGCACCCCCACAAAGTCCTAGCCCCTTGCCACCCTCCCAGAGGCCTCATCTGTGTAGCCGCTTATCCCGGCCTTTGAGAATCCTTGCCCCAAGGAGAGGAGGAGGTGGCTTCGTGAAAGGTAAATGACCCTGTGTTAGGAACCAAGAGGCTGGGTCCTGGATCTGCCTCTGCCATCAAGTTGCTGGGAGGCTCCTTTCTCTTCTCACAGCTGCCCTAAAGCACCGTTCTTAACACTCTGCATACATAATCCAGCTTTTTTTTTTTTTTTTGAGATGAGCCTCACTCTTTCGCCCAGGCCGGAGTGCAGTGGCGCAATCACAGATCACTGCAACCTCCGCCTCCCGGGTTCAAGTGATTCTCCTGCCTCAGCTCCCCGAGTAACTGAGATTATAGGCGCGTGCCACCATGCTCTGCTACTTTTTATGTTTTTAGTGGAGATGAGATTTTCACCATGTTGGCTGGGCTGGTATCAAACTCCTGATCTTACGTGATCCACCCGCTTCGGCCTCCCAAAGTGCTGGAGTTACAGACACAAGCCACTGCACCCAGCCGTAATTATTAATCCAGCATTATGGGGGTATGGGAGGCACAAAAATGAGGCTCAAAGTGATAAAGTCTCCCAGCAGCCAGAAGTGTCAGAGACGGGATTGAACCCAGGCCCTCCAAGTCTGGTTGGTTCCCCATAACATGCTCACTTCCCTTCTCTGGGACTTGGTTTCCCCATCTGATAAACGAGGGTGTTGGGCTAGGTGATCCCTCCCAGCTCGGACAGTGCAGGATCCAGGAATGCATTGGAACCTTTTGCAGGCAGGTCTCTCCTGTGTCTCATTCTCCCCAGGGGTCTTTGGAGAGCTCGCTCGCTTGGTGTGTGAGCTCTTGGGTGGATAGTCCTGGGAGAAAAGGAAGAAGTGGTACTTACACCTCATAAGTGCCCGACATTAGCACTTTGGTTGTCCTGTGGAATTCTTACAGCAGCCTTTTGAGGGGGGTCATGTTTATTTCCATTTTACAGATAAAGAAACAGAGGCTCAGAGAGGTCAAGTGATTTGCCCAGGGCCACACAGCTAGGAAGTTGCCAGGCTAAAGTGTCCAGTCAACAGTTAACAGTGGTATGGGGTGGCATGTGCCCAATACACATCTCCTAGGATGGCTTTGATTTATTAATAAAATATGATAAATATAGTAGTCATCCCAAAAAACTATCAACGTGTCTCGGAGATTTGAATACCTCTGCATCCAAACTACATCTCCCAGGCTGCCTCTGACACTCAGAAGTAGCCCAGAAATCCTTTTGTTCAGTGGTTTCTTGATTTCTGCTTTGGAAAGTATGGTCAGTTGTAATTATGGGTATGTGAGAGTTCAGAGGAGAGAGAGCTGCGTGGGCTGGATGGAGCGGGCTGGAAACGCTTGGCACCGAACTGGGAGTGGAGCTGGGCTGGCCAGCAGCTGAGGGGGCTGAGATGGGCTGGGGTGGGCCAAGTTCACAGCCTCCAGGGACATTTCCTGAAGGGCCTGTAATGGGGCTGTGCACCAGGGAAACTGCAAGCCTCTTCAGGACCCCCTCCCTCCCGGCCCTGCACCTCCCCACGGGGGCCCTGGAGCAGGCCAGCCTCCAGTTAAGGCATGTTCAGCCCCAGACCTTTGCTCCGGCCTCTCCACCCAGGCTTCCCAGGGAACTGGGTAAAGGGCTGCACGATGGGACAGCGGGGCCAGGCACCCTGAGGCTTTAGCAGTTGACAGCATGAGGACTGAGATGACCCCAGCCAGCCCGCCCGCCCCCTCCACACCCCCACTCCCTGCCTGCTCTGGGGCCCTTGGCCCCGAGGCCTCAGCAGCTGTCAGCAGGGAAGGGTGACAGAGGAAGGCCAGAGGTGACTTCCCAGCCTGCCCCTTCTCCCCCTGCTTGGGCCAGGCCCAGAGCTCTCCCCAGCTGTTGTCAGCAGCTGCAGAGCTTTGTTCCCGAGCCAGCTCTGGGTAGCCCCCTCCTCCCAGCACATCTTCCCACCATCCTTCACAGCTGCTGCCCCTGGGGAGGGGCTGGGGCTAATGTGGGAGACAGAGTCACATCCTTTGGTTCCTTTGATCCTACCAACGACCTGAAGAATAGGAATTCATGCCCTTGTTTTTATGGAAGAGTAAACTGATTCAGAGAGGCCAAGCAACTTGCTTGAAGCCACACAGCTTAGTGGCTGACTTCAGGCTCCTGGCTCCCCACCCAGTGCTCTCCGACTGCCTTTCTTCAAAGTGCATTTGCGCAGGATGCTGGGGGCTTCAGGGCTCCTGGGCTTGACTCCCAGCTTGGCCATTTAGGACCTCAGGCGAGCTGCTTAACCAGCCAGTTAGGACCTCAGGCGAGCTGCTTAACCACCTGGGCTGGAACTCCCATTTTCTTGCTTGTGAAATAAGATAATGGTACCGACCTCTTGGAATTGTTGAGCAAATTAAATGAGATAATTAACGTCAAGTACTTAGCATAAGGCTTGATGTGTTCTTTGTGCTCAAACTGAGAGCTGGCAATATTACCATCGAGGGTATTAGCCACCTGTGTGCCTGGCATTCTGGGTGGTTCTACGGAGGCTACAGACACATTCCACAAATATTTGTATCAGTCAGTAAATATTGATTTGGCACCTACTGTGTGCCAGGTGCTAGAAAAAGGGCGGTGACAAAACAGACCAATTCCCGTTCCTGCTTATATTCTGCTTCACAAGGTGGCTGGAGAGACACTACTCATCCTAACCATGGAAGCCTCTGGAGGGCTTTCACACACTGGGATTCACATCCACATTTTGCAGATGAGAAAACTGGGACCAGAGAAGATCGATGGCGGAGCTGGGCCAGGACCCAGCTTTTCTGAGGGTCTCAGGCAGTGCTGCTGAGCACGGGAGGCAGCCCTGTGGGCGTCCTGGAAGAGGCATTTTACGCTGAATCTTACAGGGCCTCAGGGCCTGGGAGGAGAGGTGGGGAACAGTACAGGACGCAGCCACCACAGTCTGGGCAGGAACAATTTCAGGAAGGTTTTAAGGAGGGCAAGGCCTTTTGTTCCCCAGGGAGGAGGCCCAGCCAGAGCTTTAAATACCCTGGGCAGCCCAGAATAGCCCCCATTGTGTTGTTCTGCAGCTGGGGGACCCAGGGAGGAACCAGCATCGCCGTGGAGGATCCTGAGGGGGCTGATGCTGGCAGATTCTGGAGGTGGGGCGGGGAGGTCTTCAGGCACTTCCCTATATGGTGCGGTGGCATTTCTGTGGAAGGCTTTTCCAGTCGGGCTCAGGCAGGAAGGCCTGCTTTGTGGGAAGGGTGGAGCAGCAGCTCAAGTTCTGCGTGAGCAACGTGCAGCTGAGGGGGGAGCCTGGTGGGTGGGGGACTCCCAGGGACAGCTCCATGGCCGACTGAAGGTTCCTCTTTGTGCACCAGAGGTATGTGTGCATTGGCCCACTGGGTCCTCCTGTAGGTGGGCCTAGCCCAGGCCCTTGCCAGGGCCTCCTGGCACTGTCTCCTGCTCTAGCTATTTTGGGCACTGGCTGTGTTCGGGCTTGGAGAGTGATGGGTAATCTTGCCCAGACCAAGGCTGCTGGGGTGAGGTTGCTAGGGTACTGCCTGGACTGCCATCCCAGCTCCCTGAATCTTTGATCACTGTAGCCTCTGCCCCTGGCTTCAGCTTCAAAGGGTCATGGTCAGCAGACTCTGAGGGGATGCCAACCCCACTGATGAGGCAGAGAAGGGTGCCAGACAAGCCTGTCCCCTGGGGCATTCCCTGCTCTCAGTATCAGAAATAGTTGTGCTTTTTCTAAGCAACTGGTTTGTTTTTACATTATGAGACATGGAATCTACGGACCGGTCAGGTTTCCTTCTTCCCATTGGCTGCTGGCAAGCTCAGGGCCACATGAGTTGTCCCTTTCCTAGATCTCTGGGATTCAGCATGTGCTGTCTGTCTGCTTGCCTCACTCCAAGCTCCATCTGCCTGCCCTGCCTGAGTTTTTCTTACATATCTTTAGTTAATAAAATGTAATCCCCTCCTTTAGCCCTGTTCCCTTTGCGGGTGGGACACAGCCGAGAATTTTAGAATCCTAATGTTGTACAGTGTCAGTGCTCTAAAATATAAAAGCCAGTGGAAGCTAAATAACTAAATAACAATAAAACTAAAGATATTTACGGCCGGGCGCGGTGGCTCAAGCCTGTAATCCCAGCACTTTGGGAGGCCGAGACGGGCGGATCACGAGGTCAGGAGATCGAGACCATCCTGGCTAACACGGTGAAACCCCGTCTCTATTAAGAAATACAAAAAACTAGCCGGGCGAGGTGGCGGGCGCCTGTAGTCCCAGCTACTTGGGAGGCTGAGGCCGGAGAATGGCGTGAACCCGAGAGGCGGAGCTTGCAGTGAGCTGAGATCCGGCCACTGCACTCCAGCCTGGGCGACAGAGCGACACTCCGTCTCAAAAAAAAAAAAAAAAAAAAAAAGATATTTACGTATCTTTAGTTAATATTTTCTTGACTGTTAAGTGCACATCTTTGTAACCTCTCTGCAGCCTTTTTGGAACAGGGCAAGAGGGGAGGTATAAATGAGTAATGAGGAGGGCTAAAGGAGGGGATCACTCTGTCGCCCAGGCTGGAGTGCAGTGGCGCCATCTTGGCTCGCTGCAACCTCCACCTCCCGGGTTCAAGCGATTCTCCTGCCTCAGCCTCCCAAGTAGCTGGGATTACAGGCATGTGCCACCATGCCTGGCTAATTTTTGTATTTTTTAGTAGAGTCGGGGTTTCACCATGTTGGCCAGGTTGGTCTCGAACTCCTGACCTCAGGTGATCCACTAGCCTCAGCCTTCCAAAGTGCTGGGATTACAGGCATGAGCCACTGCACCCAGCCTGTCCTGACTTTGTAATCCCCTCCTTTAGCCCTGTTCCCTTTGCGGGTGGGACACAGCCTAGAATTTTAGAATCCTAATGTTTTAGAGTGTCAGTGCTCTAAAATATCAAAGCCAGCGGAAGCTTGGGGATCATTTAAGTTGATGGCTTTCAAACTCGCTAAGCAGTGAAACCCTTATTTTAATCATAATAACAGTAATAATCACAGCAAACACTTACAGAACATTCACCATGTGCTGTGTTATTTGTAGCATTTTACATTTGTATTTAATCCTCACAATAGCCCTATGAGATAGATACTATTACTATGAATGATCGTGCCCATTTTACAGACGAGGAAATGGAGGCACAGAGAGGAGAAATGACTTGCTCATGACCTCACAGCTAATCAAGGGCTGAACCAGATATTTATGTAGAAGGTGAGAATATAAAAAGGAAAGGGGTGGATTTGTGGCCAGGCACAGTGGCTCATGCCTGTAATCCCAGCACTTTAGGAGGCTGAGGCAGGAGGATCTCTTGAGACCAGGAATTCGAGACCAGCCTTGGCAACATAGCGAGACCCCATCTCTAAAAAAATAAATTAGCCAGATATGGTGATGTACCACTATACTCCCAGCTACTTGGAAGGCTGAGGCAGGAGGATATCTTGAGCCTAGGAGGCTCTAAGGAGGCCCACTGCCCTCTAGCCTGGGCGACAGAGCAGAACCCTGTTTAAAAAAAAAATTGGTTGTGTTTTGATGAAAGTGAGTGTTTGGTAAAGGGCCCAAACTCTAACGGTGCCCCGCTTCCACCTCACCCCTGTCCAGAGTGGCCCTGAGGCTGCTGAGGATGGACTGGAGAGCCGCGACCTAGGGTTGCTTCGTCATCAGACAGAGGGGAGTCTGAGGCCCAGAGAAGGGAAGGGACTCGCCCAAGAGAACAGAGCTGGCTGGGAGCCCTGTTCTCAGTCCCTGCCCTGAAGAGCACCAGCACCCCCTCGCCTGCATGGTCCCCAGCCCTGGGAGTGAACCCCTGCCCCGGTCTCTGCACTCGGCCCGGAATGAAGCTCTATTTCTCTCTGGGGCACAGGTACCTCCAGACTTTCTGGAGGGTCCCTGCAGACCAGGAATGACTGGGTGCTGGGCGACCTTCTCTTTCACCTCCGACAGGACTCACCCCCTGAGAGAGCAGGCTGATGGCCAGGGAGGGAAGGCTCAGGCTGTGTTTGGATTTCTCAGGTGACAGATGTCAATCACCCTGAGAAGAGAGAACATACCCCTCCTACCACCAGCTAGCCTGCCGCCAGCCCGCTTTTCCTTCCATGGGAACTCGCGGCTTTTCTTATCTTCTTGAAGAGCCTCCCTTACAAAGCCCCTGGGTACTGGGGAGCATATCTTACATCTAAAATCTTACTTAAGGCTAGCTTCAGGGAAAAATGGGATGGTTGGCATGGTGTTCCCAAAGTGTGTTCTGTGGAACCCTAGCCTAGTGAACTTTGCATAAATAAAGGGTTCCAAGTTAAGCAACTTTGGGAAATGCTAAATAGTTGCACGTGAGGTCCCCCCCAGCCCCCCGGCCCCATCATGTTGCCTCAGCCATTTAGGACTTAGGGAGGCAGCTCAGCTTTGTGTAACCAGCCTTTCCCAGATGTGTTTGTCTTCCCCGCGCGTATTCCCATCCCAGAGTTTCTGTGTCTGGGAAAGGACGTTATCATGAATAAAGCAGACACGGGGCGCTTCAGGACGAGGACCCCTTGCTCTGATTTCTGGCTCTGCTGTCCACAGGCCTATCTCAGCCATGGGCTTGGCCCTGTCTGCCCTTTCCTCTCCTTCCATACCGCAGATGAGGAAAGCCTGGCCTGGGGGCAGGGGGAGCCGACCTCCTTGGCCACAGCTGCCGGGCCGCCGTTCCAGCCTGTTTTTTCCTGTTGCCGATGCCCACGGGAGCAAGCGCTGAGTGGAGTCACTGAGGCCTGGCTGTCTGGCTGTGTTGCGCAAGGCCCTGGAGCCAGAGCTCTGGCCCCTACTTGCCTCCGAGGCCCCCCACCCACCCCTCCGGGATGCTCCTCAGTGACCATGGGCAGCCTCTTGTTGCCCTGGAGACGGGCTTCCCAGCAGGAAAGTCCCAGGCATCATCAGTGGGACCGGGTGGTACGGAGTTCCTTCCGGGTGTGGAGCCAGGGGTCTTAGGTTCTAATCCTGTGACTATGGGCAAGTCAGCTCTCTGAGCCGCAGCCTCCTCGCTTATAAACCCCGTTAATTAATCAACTACTTAATTGTTTTCAGAGACAGGGTCTCACTCTGTTGTCCAGACTGGAGTACAGTCGTGCAGTCATAGCTCACTGCAGCCTCAAACTCCCGGCTCAATCAGTCCTCCTGCCTCAGCCTCCTAAGTAGCTGGGACTACAGGTGTGCACCACCGCAACAGGCTGATTTTTTTGTTTGTTTGTTTTGTTTTTTGTTTTTTGAGACGGAGTCTCGCTCTGTCGCCCAGGCTGGAGTGCAGTGGCGCGATCTCGGCTCACTGCAAGCTCCGCCTCCTGGGTTTACGCCATTCTCCTGCCTCAGCCTCCTGAGTAGCAGGGACTACAGGCGCCCGCCACCGTGCCCGGCTAATTTTTTGTATTTTTAGTAGAGACGGGGTTTCACCGTGGTCTCGATCTCCTGACCTTGTGATCCGCCCGCCTCGGCCTCCCAAATGATTTTTAATTTTTTTCTAGAGACAGGGTCTCACTATGTTGTCCAGGCTGGTCTCGAACACCTGGCCTCAAGTAAGCCTCCTGCCTCAGTCTTCATTAATTAATTCAACAGTTTTTTGTTTTTTTTTTAAGATGGATTTTCGCTTTTGTTGCCCAGGCTGGAGTGCAATGGCATGATCTTGGCTGACTGCAACCTCCACCTCCTGGGTTCAAGTGATTCTCCTGCCTCAGCCTCCCAAGTAGCTGGGATTACAGGCACCTGCCACCACACCAGGCTAAGTTATGTATTTTTAATAGAGAGGGGGTTTCACCATGTTGGCCAGGCTGGTCTCGAACTCCTGACCTCTGGTGATCCACCCGCCTTGGCCTCCCAAAGTGCTGACATTATAGGTGTGAGCCACCTACCGTGCCCAGCTGAAAGGTGACATTTGAGCAAAAACTAGAAGAAGGGGAGCGAGTGATGGAATATGTGGGGACAGTGTCCCAGGCAGGGGGCTTTGTGTGTTTGAGGACTATTGAGGGGATGCATGTGGCTATTTTAGAAGGCAGGGAGTTGGGTGAGCACAGTAGCAAAAGAGATTGGAGTGGGGCGTGTGTGTGTGTTTGTGTGTGTGTGTGTGTATGTTTATGTGGGTGTGTGTGTAGACAGATTACATAGAACCTGGTTGGCCATGATAAGGGCTTTTCCTCTCACCCTTTGGTGAGTCAGGAGTCATGGGAAGCCCGAACCTGACAGGTTCAGGAAATGGCCATGGTTGTTAGTGGTGTCTCATGGCAACATAACTTTGTGGAACGTTCCGCCCATCCTTCCATAGTCCTGGCACTGTGCAAGGGGCATTCATGAAATCTGTGGGCAGTGACCCAGGAGGGTATGGGCGG